CTGTGAGTCAGAACAGCCGGCATTGTAGTCTACTCTCCCAGGATCAGGAAACAGTCCTCCATAAAATGCGCTGCACACATCTGAATATTTGGGTTGAGCTGTTCTGGATCAGTGTTGTAAATACAACTTAACCACTGATTTCTAGTCGTGTCTTCTTTTGGAAGGCCAAACAAAGTAGTTTCACACGGCGGGCTAGAGTGAGCGGTGGCGGGCTAGAGTGAGCGGAGGCCGGTGGGCCTGAGTGAGCGGCGGCGGGCTAGAGTGAGCGGAGGCCAGCGGGCCTGAGTGAGCGGCGGTGGGCTAGAGTGAGTGGAGGACTTGAGAATGGCGCGGCCGGCAGATTCGACGAAGGAGCGTCCGGAGGGCTTGCGGCAACCACATGTGACGACCCCGGGCTGGACTCCGCTTCGTCCACGGTGAAAGCCGATCCGGTGATCCATAGCGCAAAGTTGATGTATTTCCTCAGCGACCAGCACGGATGAGCTCCAGGCATGACGAAGCAGATATCGTCCTCTTTTGGAAGACCAAACAAAGTAGTTTCTCTTTTACAACGAAGCACACAGTGCCTTCACGACATGGCGGTGGCGGCAACAATACTACAGCGAGAATCAAGGTTACGCCTTCTTTCTTTGCGTGAACATTGGGTGGCGTTATGCAAATCTTCCCACATTGTGACGTAGACATGTGGGGGCGTGTTTAAACTAAGCATTTTAGGAGGGCGTGGACGTGTCTTAACTTTTATAAAGAATATCTCTTTGGATTTGAGACTTTAGTCTTTGCAACTTTAGGGATCTTATCTATTCACGAACAGCTTGTAACACTCCAAAGAGAAAGGAAAACTTGAAATTGCATCATATGACCCCTTTAAGTTTTTTTTTTTTTTTTCTAAAGTAGTGCATTTGTTTATCAAGAACACAATAGGGTATGTGAAAAGCTTGAGATTAAATATGCGATATGTGGAAAAATCAAGCTAAATATTGATAGATTGTATAATTATAGAATGTTTTTTCCAATCATTCTGTGTCTAATTAAAATATAATTTAACTGTTTTTAGGATACACAAAATGCTAGCTATGAAATTAGTCTTACAGCAAGATTTTGGCCATTTTATTTTTATTAAAATGTCATTTCCATAATTGCCATGCTGTGGGATGCAAGACAAATTTTGGATGAAACTCCAACAATAAACATGAAATTTAATTGAAACTGAATTGAATTTATATTTATACTATCAATTATATATACTTCATATTCATATTTTATAATTTATTCAGAAGCAATTAGTCTTTATTGTTCTATCAGCTCTTTACATCTTACTAAGTTATCCAACTAAAATTATTATAATACGTGAAATGGTTGCTGGCAACAGCAATCTCAGCAATGCAAATATATATAGTCAGTATA